CTAATTGTTCTTGTTGTTTCTTGTGCATTTGTAACATTTGTTTATTCTGGGCTAAGAGTGCATCATAGCCATCAAGCTTCATTATCCCTTATCTTCTTGGTGTAACGGGGCATTGTCAAATTCTTGAGAAGCTAGAGATTCCAACAATTCTAGCGCTTCCTCTGGAGTTTTTGTTTTCAAGGAGCCTCCTGCAGCAGCATTTACCAGTGTTCTTGTGCTGGATGTCATCCCTTGTAAAAGATTCTTATTTTCTCCCATGCTTCAATTCCATGTTGAGGACATTTCCTGAGTGATCCTTTGAATCGTTCCCAAGCCTCGTACAAAGATTCACCTTCTTTTTGTTCAAAAGCAGTGATCTCAGCCTTGAGCCTTGCCATCTTTGAAGCTGAGAAAAATCTGGCCAAGAACTTTCTTGCTAAGTCATCCCAATTGGTTATGCTTCCTTCAGGTAGATACTGCAACCAATCTCTTGCTTCATCCTTCAGTGAGCATAGAAATAGCCTGAGCAAGATAGCATCACGAGGAACTCCATTCACTTTTAATGTATCACAGTAAAGTAAGAAGTTATCAAGATGACTATAGGGGTTCTCTGTGCTTCCTCCAGCGAACTGTTCTTTTTGAATTAGTTGCAGCAGTGCCAGCTTCAGTTCAAAATTGTTAGCCTATGTTTGGTCTAACAAAGCTTGCCGTCTGTGGAACTCGAGCTGGGGTCATGTAATCCCCCAATGTCCTTGGAGCGATTTGATTGTTTTCTGCCATTGGTTCCTCCTTTGGTTCCGTCGAAGTTGATGCCTTTGTTTCCTTCGCTTTCTTTACTTTTGCGTCTTTCCTAAGTTTTCTTTCTGTTTTTTCTATCTCAAGATCAAACTGCAAAATTCGTGGGTTAAGAGTACCTCGCATAAACTAAGATTGAAAAGATGTGTAGAAAAAATAAAAAACGCAAAACAGAAAACAGAAAAGAAAAGAAAAGAATGTAGAAAATTAAATATGTAGAAAAATATGCAGAATTTTTTTTTTATGCAGAAAATGTTTTTATAATATGCTTAAAGTGCAGAACAATAAGCGTCCAATCTAAAAGTTAATTAGTTACTTCTAATGTTGAAGAATTCGATCCCCGGCAACGGCGCCAAACTCGCTGGCGCGTGACTCGCCGGCGCGTGGCGGCTGCGATGGTGGTCAGACTTCCACAGACTTGGTCGCCGGGAGGAGAGGCTCTTGGTCACGAGTGGTTTGGTTCGAAAACTCGCCAGGAAAACTTCTCCGGCGGCCTGAACAGTGCTGGACGGCGGTTCTGGTGGCTGTCGGAGGTGCTGACGCATTCAAAAATTATTCTAAGGGATCTTACAGCCCTGTATGGCTTGCCGGAAGGACGCACGACAAAGAAAAGAGGATTCATAAGCAGTGGGCTTAGGTTTTAATGCGAGAACGAAGTTTTAAGCGAAAGCGAGGGTCCCTAGAAAAAGAGCTCTGGTACCAACTTGAATATAAAATAATGTGTTGTGTATTAATCTAATACAAAGATTTACAATATATAGAGACCCTAATGGGCTTAAGTGAGAACCCCAGATCTAATCCAAAAAGAATATTTACAGATAGGAAGTAATCTAATCATATCTAATTGTTGCGACTCAGCAAGTGCACCGATCGTGAAAGTAATAAAGTGTACCAGAGTACGAGATCGTTTCCACGAGGATCAGAAACTTCAAACACTAGTTCGCTAATCGCGTTTTAGTTGGACAATCAAAAGTTGAGTTTGAGAGGATGATTGTTCAAAGAACTTCAAATTAAAAACAAGTAAAAACATGCAATCAAGAAAATTCAGAATTTAAAGAATGAATGAAGATGATGTTTGTTAAGAATTTAAAACAAGCGTAGTTAAGGTTTCGACTTTCCCCAATATCCTCAATCTGTTATGAATTAAATAGCCAAGAATCCGTTTCTTAATATATTGCCAATCAATTCTATCTAGTTTAATTACGGCTCAATTCCTTGTTACCATAAATCTATGTAATCTTGAAAGAACTCTAGTTTCCCGATTATTCCCCAAGAAAACATGCATTAAGATCAAGAATTTCAAGATTGCATAATTACCCTATGCCTATTCCTAGATCACAAGGATTATGATAAATTATCAGGTCAGGGTTCATGCACCAACATCCCTATTGTCATACAATTCCCCAAAATCATTCTATAATGAACAAACTCATAGAAAGCATTAAAGACAGATAATTTATTCAATTATAAAAAGAACAGGATTCGGAGACAATTTAATCATAAACATAACGATTCAATTGGGTTCCATCTACCCTTAACTACATAAAAGACTACTCTAGCATACTGAATTGAAAAATAATAGTAAAGTAAAGAGAACCCCAAGCCTCCATTGATGTGATGTTGACTTGGTTCCTCAGTGTTTCAGCGCTCCGCAACAGGATTCCTCCTTCCGTCTTGGTGTAATGCTCTGGACTTGTGAATTGGTTTTTGGTCTGCTCCCAAGCTCTTTATTTATAGCCATTGGAGTTGTATCTTCATTGTATCTCTCAACGAATCCTTATCAGATTTGTAATTGATTCTTCAATTGCTTCCTTTTTGCAATTAATATCTTGTAGATTGGTTGGTAGATTTGAGCTTTATAATCCTGCTTCAATCTTCCATGACTCCCTTTAAATCCGGTTTGATTTGTTTCCATTTTGGTTCTGGATGTCGTAATCTGGAAAATCTTCATTAAATCTCAGCAAATCTTTGCTGTCAGGAACGTACTTGGGCGCTCAAGCGTGCTGTTGGCCCTTGAGCGTGCATCGATCTATGCCTGTAATTTGCTGTTCTGCCTGCCCTCACGCGCTCGAGCGTGCTCCTCGAGTCTGGAATTATGTCTTCTGGGGCGCTTGAGCGTGCATATGTGCGCTTGAGCGTGCTTTTCTGGCTCCTAACTTGTAAGATTTTGGCTTCCCTTTTCCATATTGAGCCGCTACTTCTTCGTCATGATTTCTTTAGCACTTTTAGCACCATTTCTTGTGGTTTTACCTTCAAAACGCAAATATTATCAAAACGTCAGCTCAATTTCCTATCTTATGACTTAAATTTCTTAAAACCTTGAATTCCATGCATTCTACTACATAATTCTTGTATAATTTAGCCTAAAAATATGGTAAACCAAAGGTTTATCACTAATCATATCTATTCTAACAAAAACAATCCAACCGCCCAAGAAGACAAAGTTGAGGTGTCAATTCCAAATCAAGGCAGTAACGAAAAGAAAGAGAAAAAGGTGGTTCTTAGCAAAGGAATGAAGTTAGTTACAGAAAGAGAAAAAAGGGACAGCTGGCAAATGTTGAATGGTGATGAGGATATTGGAAAGGGAGTAAACGTGCAAGGAGGTTATTATAAGGAGAGGGAGAGCAAAGGAGAAGGAGAGGAAAATATGAATCAACCAGGAAAGGAGGAAGAGTGAAATCTGCATATGAGTGGGAGTTTGTGGAGGAAGCTTGGGTTAAGGTGACTAACATCTTGCTATGGTGTCTATGTTTATTTTCAGTCTGTTATGGAGTCTATGAGTATGTATTGTTGTTATGTGTGTAGCGAGTGTACTTAGGAGTATGCATTGTGATTGAGTCTGTAATTTTCTTTATATTGTGGATGTATTTTCCCTATCATACATAGTGTGTGATAGGTTGGGGTCGATTCTTCGGAGTCTGTAAGTAGGAAAGTGTCTCTTGTTGGAGTCTATTGCAGAGCAAAATAATATAAAAATGCCATAGATGTATTTTTCAGAACTGTTGATGATTTTCTTTCTTTGTTTTAACTGATTTTTGAGCTTAAAAAGATTGATTAATCATTCTAAACGTACGGTAACTAGTGTATGACTAAAATTGTATAGGGATTAATCAATCTTTTTAAACGAGGGATTAATCAATCACATTTTCAAAGAACTAAAATTGTAGAGGGATTAAAAATTAATTTTTTTTGTAAAGGGCAAAAGTGGGAACCATATATTTTTTATTAGGGATCCAAAAGAGATTTTACTCATCTTTTTACTAAATTGAAACTAAAAAAAGACCCTACTCCTAACTAGTGAGGTGTAAAATTTTAGGTGTTTAGATACTTTATATTTTCTCTTTTCTCTTTTCTCTTCATAAGACCGGCTCCATACACTTTTATATGTGTATAGAAATAACTTTATCTCTTACAATATATGTAAGAAACATTAAATTCTTTATTATATTGTGATAAATTTGTACGCAAAATATTTTTTAATTTTTAAAAAATTCATAAAAAATAAATTTTATAAAGTTAAAATAAATTAATCTTACTACACATTCAGCTAAGTAAATTAAGTTCACCATATGTTTACCAAAAAAAAAAACAGTTCACAATAATTTATTTTATTTTATTTTTACTCTTAATTTCATAGATTCTTTCTAGTTTTTTACGTATCTTTTACAAGAAAATAAATAACACACTAGTATGTGATTTGAGTAGATAGATTCTAGCTCCAAACAGACGCTAGATTCAGTTCTGAAACTTTAAGGAATCACGCAACCTTGAAAACGAGTCACTTGTTTTGGGCTTGTGAAAGGGCCAATCCAAGCTCTCAGCTCTCAAACACAAAGATAAGGAAGGAGAACACAACACCCACTTCCATTTATCATCCTTCACCTGGGGCGTTAATTCCAAAGCTTCTTCTTAATTCTCTTTTCTTCTTAAAATGAAATCACAGTAATGGATTTTGAGTCTTCATAGCATCAAAATGCCTTCTTTCTGGTAAAGCCTCCAACTTTAATGTGTCTTCATCTGGGTGACTCTGATTTTTTTGTTTCTCATTTATGTAGTTTTGTAATTTATAGTAACAATTTGAACGTTGGTTATTGTTTCTGTTCCTTTGTAATGGAAATGCAGGGAAATTTGTGGCTGTGTTGATTTGGTTGGTTGCATCATTCTGGCCTTATTTTGATGTCTCATTTGTGTTTGCTTTTTTTTTTTCCCCTCAATAACTGTGCCTTTGGGATTTTTGGAGACGGCATAGGAGGAAGGTTTTTGTTACTGTTGGTGTCTTAGGAAGTGGGTATTTTTGGTATAAGCTATATGTTGGTCACAGGCGTAGGCTTGATGCACTTCAAAGAGAATTTGCAATCCAAAGGGAAAATGAAGAGCTCATTAAGGTTCAGTTAAGTGTGATATCAACCCAGCTTCTTCTTCTTCAATATGTATTTACACTTTTTTTGCCTATGATCATGATGAATTTCCAACCCCACATTAAGAAGGAGATACTAATGACATGTTTTCTTTTGTAATTGACAATGATAGGATGCAAGCTCACTTTGAGAATATTCAGAGAATTTCTGAAACAATCACATTGCCTCATGCCATGCACAGTTTAAGTTCTCGGATATCAGAAGAGTTGGATCTTTCTCAGCTTCTTGAGAAGTTAATACAAGGAAAGGGTCAGCCAAACACTTTAACTCAATTAGAGAAACTAGTTTTATGGGATAGACTAAAAATTCTAAGTATGCACCGGGTCTTTGCTTCCACATTTATTATACCTGTTGCTTTGTGGCTATGTTAATTTGTCTGGTTGCAGTAGGGAATTAAAATCAAATTTGCTGCTATGTCATTTCTTTTTCTCTTGGTTTTACAAGAATGGTGTTGTCATTATGGGCAACAACAATGCTTGGCTTATATATAAAAGTTCAAGTAAATATACTAGGAAGGCATCTATATATTGATACGGCACGAAGCCTTGGAAGCTATAATTCAATGGTGAGAACCACTTTCTTTCTTGTCTTGTCGTTTATCTTTTCTCTTTCTGGTTTTGTTCAAAATATTTCCTCATATATTAGAAGAACTATTACTGTTCTGAATTCTTTAAAGATGGAAATGAAAAGAAAAATGGAAATGGAAGAAAATAGGATCTGTTTATTGATGAGAAGTAAAACACAACACACAAGAGACACTTCTCTTGCCAAGGGGCACTCCCCTTCTAACTGAGCGTTCTCAGCCTATATTCAGAAAATACTAAAAGTGACTCCAATATCTTTTTATACAAACACAACCTTCCCCCTAACTAACTATCTAATGACTAAGTATATTTCCTAAGGAATATTCTTTCCCTCCTAATACAAGACGTATGAAGAACTTTATAAAGCAACATTATAAAAAGAAACTTTAGGATAGCTAACAATTAAGTATGATCGCAAGTTTAAATTTGAAATTTTGTCTGGAATTTAATGGCTACATCTTTTGATCATTTATGTGCTGAAACTGAAGGGTAGCTACCTCTTACTATTTGAATGACGGAACAATTCTGTTCAGGGCCAAATGGAGAAAACAAGGCGAGCAAAATGAACAGAACAACCCTTAAGGCAGGCGTGGATTGTCTGCAATGTATACTTAATTGCAAAATTAACTTATAATGTTGTGATTTAGTAGATTCCTGGATGAGTTACAGATACAATTTTAGGATCAAAGTCATTCAATTATTGAAATATATGCCTTTTGTATGTGTTGTTTAAAATTTTTGAAAGGCTAACTTCCATAGAATCCTGATTAGGTTACGGCCAATGACATGCCATGCCACTTTGATTGAACCGTTCACAGTTTAAACCTTAGATCTAGAAGACTAGAAGTACTGGTCCTTTTATTTTCTGTTGTGAGATACTTTTTCACCTTTCTTATCAAAGGCCAGTATTGAGTATGATTGGGATATTTTGGATATAAGCACTATGCACTATAAAGTAATGCACTCCCTACTCTGTCTAAGGATCCATGTTGCTACCTATATTATCAAGGTGCACTCGCATTCCCGTGTGGTCAGAGTTATTTGACCTGATTCCAAGTTAACTTACATGGATGTGCCGCGGATCATGACCAAGTTCAATTTCTCATGACTCGTGTCCTATATAGTTAGTGTGTGTGTGTGTGGAAACATTAAGGTCCACTTGCAAATCTTGCTCAGAAGTTATTGCTGTTTGATATCATCCACTTGCAAATTTTTTTTTGATAACACTTTTGAAGATAACACCAAAGAAGGCTCTCATGCATGCTACAAAATCGAATTTGTCAATCTTCCACAGCAGAACCACTGCTTCAATGTTCACGAGGTCCATCACGGCAGCTATTATAATAAAAGGAATCACTGCATTTGGTGTGTACTTAAATAGCGGTGTGATGAGTAGCAGAGTTAATAATACATCAATGGACATACAACTAATGCATAAGATAATTCATTAATTTGAGCCAATGTCCCGAGAGAAGAAATGGGGACATTCCTAAAAAGTAATTCATTAATAGTTTAAACTAATTCTTAATTTAAAAAATGAACTCTCCGGAGATATAAACAATTGCATTGCATCCGACCATTAACTACCAGAAAACAGTAGCAAGATTGAATAGAGCTATGGACCATTAACTACCACAAGTCACATTATCTGAAAAAAGAACAATAACATATTCAAAGGGCCATCATACATTTCCTTTTTCAATCCTCTTACATCCCAAAATCATCTTGATCCCTTCTAGAATCATAAAGTTTGGTTAATTCCTCTCTAGACTATAAATTTTCATAACCACACACATAATTTTGAAATTTGAGACAAATTTCAAGTTGCAATTGGCAAGTAAGTATGTGTCTATGCCTGTATTACATGGGAAAGTCAGCTTCAGCAAACAAACAGTTACAATTAGTGTAACAAAATTCTTCAATCACTGCACAAAGAGAGAATCATTAATTTTGCTTCTTCTTCTTTTTTAATTTTATTTCCTCATAATTCTTAATAAATAAATAAACCAAATCCAAACATGCAGCAATTGTGAATCTTACTTCTAAAGAAAATGATGAATATTCCATAAACAAATTTGCCAAAGGGAGGCCTTTTCAGCCCAGAACTTGGAAGCAGAATAAAGTCGGAATCATAGGTAAGTTTGATTCCTATTCTCAAAAACAGTTTTTAAAACAAAAAATTAAAAAAAATAATCTGTTTAGAAATGATTGTTTTGCAAAATGCTTTCCAAAACAATGATTTTCTTAGTTTTAAAAACAAAAAAACCAAAACAACCTCCCCATGTTCTCCAGAGGTGTTTTTTGATTTTTTTTGTTTAGGCGGTGGCAATTTCATAAATATCAGGATTTATTAATGGCAATTCTTAAATATCAGGACCAAAACAACTACTTTAAGGTGGCATTTTGTAATTCTAAAACTTTATTAATGGCATTTTTATAAATAATTATAACTTCTTTATAACTTTAATTTATCTATATTCAAATAAGTTTTTTTTGTTTTTTTACTCTTAAAATCAATTTTCAAAATTCATATTCTAAACAGTTTTTGAAGAAAAAAAAACAAACACTTTCAAACATACCCTATACTCATTACCAAGCTGGTGAGTGTGTTGATGTTGTAGGTCATAGATATCTCATTATTATAATGTTTCTTAATTTACAATCCTGCCATTAATGAAAACAAAGTGTTCTCCGTATTTTTATGGTTCTCAAAACAAAAAAAGTGAAAATCAAAACAAAAACAAACCAAAGGTGTTACGAAATTTTTGATCTAAAAACTAAAAACTGGTAATTGTTTTTAAAACTATTTTAGGAAACACCCTTATCAATATATTAATAAAAAAATATACCATCATAATCAAGTAATATGCCAACATATTCATAAATTTATAACACTAAGAATTATACTTCAAAATAAGTTCAAACATGACATAATATTGTAAATAATGTCATCTTATCCATAAAAAAAAAAAAATCTTAAATCAGCGTTGTATAAATACTTTTTTTTAAAAAAAATGCTCCAAGGTTCTAAACTGATTTTCATCGTTTTGGATCAGCTAGTTCTTTGCATAACCAGTTTTATCTATAAATTAGACGCGAGGAATCTGTATCAAAAAATATGACATGGTCATGTGAAAAATCATATGGATCAATGATAATAAGAGAAAAAATATATATATTAAATAAATAATTATAAATCATAATCGTTAATTCACTTTACATAGTTATGATTTTTTTATATGCCCATATCATATCTTTTTTCATAGCAGAGGATCCAATTTCCAGAGACTTGCACAATATCAAACCGATCAATTCGGTCTGATTTTTTAATTGTTGACATTTTTAGTAAAAAGTATTGGTTCTGTGGTGCAACCGCGCTCAAACAGTTCCTACTCAACTTTATTAGGATGTAAATGGGCTCAGTCAAGGTAAACTTTGATCTAAATATATCCACAAAATATTTTTTTAAATATGGCCTGACCTGTTATTAAGAAATAAATTATATTATAAGTTCGACTTGAATTATATTTAACTTGCTATAAGCTTATTAACCTATTTAAGATTATAAAACTTTCAATACCTATCAAAATTAGAAAAATCAAATATATAAATTATTTTTATTAAAATTATGTAGATATTTATTTTATTATAAATGAATATTCTAATTTACGGTTTAATGGTGTTCTTCTGAACTAATATTCTAACTTTCTTTCTTTAAATAACATTTTATTATTAAATAAAAACTCTACTGCATTATTTAATTAGCAGAATATACATAAATTTTCACTTAATCATAAAGTATATTGATATAAATAAAACCAATGTTGATAACTTATAATCCTCGGGTTCAATTTAGCAGTAATATAAACCAAAACTTTCATCCCTTATGAAATTGGATTCAACAAGACTACTGATTTATTTACTCCGGATTTTAACTTTCAAACTCCAGTTAAGCTTGCCCTCTGGCAAAGGGATGGACCTTGGTAAACGGAGTGGCACCTCATATTCTCCCACTGACGATAAAGGTAATGGAAGATGCAGGTTATCAGGTGCAATGTTCACGCAGAGTTGTCTTGCCACCTAAAAATATCACAATACTTAAAACCTCGGTACCAGAAAAGGAAGAAAGGTAACCCTTCTCTCATGAATGAAATCAAAATTCAACATATATGCATTTTTGTAATCCCATATCAGTTTTGTAATAACGGTAGGATTAGCTTACAAAGGTGTAAGAAATCTTACACTTAATTTCAGCGGTTGATCTACGTGCATTTGACAAATGTAATTTATTAAGTTACACCCATTAATTAATTACTAACATCAATAAATCACTGCTGTCAGATGTGTGTAGATCAACCGCTAAGATTAAGTATATGACTTCTTATTTCTACACGGTGTGAAATAATCCTATCTCATAATAATATTATGAAATATTTTCTAGATATTCTAACACAAATTATTCTAGATTCCAAGTTCAGATAAATAATGACATGGTATACACTACCCAAATCAACAGGCCAAGAAAGTTTCTCCTGAGGAATTAATATCAGCTACATTTATTTATTTTTTTAACAGATTTATATTCTTATTTCTTATTTTGTTACTTAATTACCATCAATAAAACATTTAGACTAAGAAGAACAAACTGTACCTCAGCCACAAGAACTTCTTTTGTCACAGGTAAGCGTATCTCCAAGGGGTCATCTTTTGATGCACGGGACTTCGCTTTTTGAACATCGATTAACCTACGCAAGACCTATTAGACACCATATTAAAATAACATATATCAAATTGTGAGTTTTAACACGAAAGACTATCCAATTATCAAGTAAACATTTCTATTTTTACAATTTTAACATTTACAATCTTCGGGAGTATCATCACAACACACTCTAATTTGAAGTTTTAGCCAGTAATACATAAAATCTAAGAACAGATCATCTGTGTTTTAGCTAGACCAAATTCTCCAAAGAAAGAAAACAAATATAAGGCAATCATCTAACTAGAAAAGGAAAATATATCCCTAAAAAGAATCGCAGAAATAGTCCCAAACAGCAATGAAAAGCTTTTGAGAGTAAACCACAAACCAGGTTAGCCTTATCAAGACGTAGTGCTGCCTTTTCATACTCTTTCATCGTATCTTCCTTTGACTCTTTAACTAAAGTAACATCTTCTTGGTCTTCTTCTTCTTCAGCAGGTTGATAGATCTGAAGCATGTAAAACATGACATTAGCAATTGGTGAATGCAGAGAAAGTTCAGGAAACTACCTATGTGAATATGCAAATGTTTATTCGCCAAGTATACAAGCACAGATTGTTGAAACTTGACAGTATGCACTGCATATACATTCACGTAAACAGAGGGGTAAAGGATGCTGTTGTTTTAAGGATCAGACATCTGACAGAGTGACAGCATAATCATATTAAGAATTTAAAAAGTTATTCCAGAAGATAGTAAAACACAGAGAACTGGAAGTAGAAGAAACAAATTTACATAATGATGAATGACATTGACAAGCAATAGCATAGATAAATAGGTAAAAAAGAGATTAAAGAAAGAGGAAAAAAAGAAAAACCTTGCGCTGCTCAGTGAGGAGGTAAGCAAACTTATCGATGTTAGGGACAGCGAGGAGCTTGGGCATTAGGTGGTTGCGAAAATATCCAGGGGCAACTTTGACAGTATCACCTGCCTTTCCCAGCTTATCTATGTCCTACAAATTGGGAATTGGAAATATCAGAAAATTAAATTGAATCAAATACCAGAACACAAACATCACAACTCAAGATAGATAATTACAGTGGTTAGGATGACTTGGAGCTTCCGGTTGTATCGAAGCCCCTGAGAAGCATACAAGAGTGGGTTTACCACAACACTATCATAATTGGCATCTTTAAATCTAATGATCTGCCTAAGACCATGTCTGCCATATTGAAGATAACCCATTCAGATTTGAATTCGAATTCACAGTCACCTCTTTTCACTCTGTCAAGACCCAACACAAATAACTATCAGTATCAAACCAACAAATTTCATTTATTCAAAAATAAACACTGTTCGGGCTTGTAATAAGAAGAGGGTAGCATTACTGTATAAAATATGATGGTAGAAAAAGAATAGCAATGGATCTTCTTGTGCTGTGTATATGATATGATACCATTTGTAAAGGTGTATAATAGGAAGCATTATAGGAGATCCACACCTCTGAATGCTGACTTAGCAAAACAGTTAGGAGAGAATATTCCAGGAGTACGGAGGGAAATTGGTTAGGAAGGCATGGAAATACTAAAGTTGCTGAAGAATGATGATAAATAGAGACGAAAGGAATGGAGAATGCAAGCAATTAGTTGGGAATAGGATTGGGACTTCGGAGAGACCGTAGCCTCTCTAAAGCTATTGGACTATCACTTCTTCATTGTTATTCCTCTTCTTTCATTTTTGGCTATAATTGTTTAATTCTCTGTAACAGAATTATAGTTGTCAAATTGTTGTAGTATTTCTTCTGTTTGTAAGACACTTCCAGTATTCAGTATAATCTTCATACTTTCCGTGTGCAATTCTGCTTTCTTTCCATTCTTTACTTTAAAATAGTGTAGAAACCTAACAGTATATTAACAATTTTATAAGAACCAAACTGGAACAAAGGTCTCCGAGTAACTTGTGCCCAAACCAATCAAATAATGACATCTAAGGCCTGCTGGATCAATTTCTGGTGTGGTTCTTAAAATACGGATGGTAACCTTACACATTAAGAACATGGAAGTAAACAGTCATGTATCCAAAACCCAGCAGGTGACATCATGTATAATATTAAAAACAACAATAACTCATGTTTTTGTTATATAGCTTTAGTGCAAACAACAATAAAGATGCTACCTATTCCAATAAATACGCTTACCACTAATAGTTTGAAACTAAACCTTATGGGTAAGAATTGTGACCTTGACCCAATCACGGGCAGAAGGTGGGTAGATTTTCAGGGCTTTCAGTCCCACATATCTTACCAAACACACAATCAAAACAAATAAGCAAGGGTAATAGAGAGATGAGGAGGGGCATAAACATGATGCAGAAAGGTAAATAGATGGAAGAAACAGTGACAGAGGTAAATAGGAACCAGGAGAACTGGAAAATGGAAGAGAAAGGAAGAAAAAGGACTCAAGAAGTGGACTCCGAGATTCAATTGAAGAGAACAGAAGACAAACACAACACCAAAATTATTAGAATTACTATATTTCCTCCTATAATGATATGCAACAGCAAATAGGTAAGCAATTCCATCCAGAAGTGACTTGCTGATTATAAATGCAACTAATCCTCAAAATAAGAGTGAATATTTCAACAACAGAGTCATTTGGCAACAAGGGAAGAGCAAAAAGGCTTATATTAATCATCAAACAAGAAAAAGTGGGAATCCAACGCGGTGCATATGCAAATAGGCACCAGTCACCCAACATGTTGAAACAGAAGGAATCTGCTAGCAATGGATGCAACAAGAAAAGGACTTGCATTTCACACCACCAGAGACAGCACGGCTTGCCTGGGTGTTCAATGGTCGACAAGGCCATTCAATCTAGCAATGGCAATGGATTAAAATCAAACTTTGGCTCCATCGCATACCCACACAGGTACCCATCCCTAATTCCCCCACAGCTTTGATGGGTACCCAGGGGTATCCACAAATATCCATTAAATCATTAAAAAAAAAAAAAAAAAAACTCTCAAAGAACAGAATTAATGTAAAGAAGCTCTAGAAACTTAATTTCTAATAATTTGTCAAATAAAAAGTAACATAATTCAAAAATTTAAAACATTTTAAATCAGCACTAGGGAGCATCTATAATTCGACATATTCACATATTTGCAGTAAAACATCAGCTTGAAAATAAATGCAATAAAATTAGCTTGAAATACATCCAAATATAAATTAGTTCATGTCACAGGCATAACAACACCCAAGACTCAAGGCTCAGAATTCCTAATGTGCCACATTCATTATGATTAACAAATAAATACCCAATCTCATTAGCACATCACATGGCTATTCTAAAATAAGATCAATTACATGATGCAATTAGAACGCTCAAAACAGTATCTCAACAAGATTAAAAGCTCTAAATGACCCAAAGCAGAAGAGATATCCAACAACTTAAAGCTTGAATATGCTATTCCCTTGAAAGCAACAAATGAAGACACTATTAAGTGTTAAACAAGCAGCAATATAAAAAAATGAGCAGTGGGTGAAAGTGTAAACAAACCACTCCAAGACCATGAAAAAAGGATGGCGTTATATGGTAACCCCAAACATTAGGAAAGAGTAAACAAACCACTCCAAGTCTATGAAACAAGGATGATTATATGATATATGGTAACTCCAAACATTAGGCAATACTTAGATGCATCTTCTCAACCCAACAACCAGTAAATAAGATAGAAAAGCAATACCAAATATCTCAACAAGCTAAAAGAGATTACTACAATCATCCCACCAGGATTTAAGAAGCAAGCAGAAAGTAGCACAAGCATATGAGATCAAAACAGTGAAATGATCAGACCTGTTATCATCATTTAAGCAAACCAAATGACCACAAGCAAGTCCCCCTTGACTTGGCCACAAAAATGGGAGGAACAATTACACCCCATAAACTTATTATAGATCTACTATAGAGAGAACAGCCTCAATGCTCCCAGTACATGCTATGCTTCTATAATTTGAAAAAAAATCAACCATTCATTCTCAAGATATGGAACCAACTCAATAATAACAGCACGAAATCCATTGGAATTAGGCCATTAATTTCCTAAGAGCATGACAAAATAAAAACTAAAGGAAACACAGCATTCACATAATCAATTCAGCACCTACCAAAATAGAATGTAAGCCAACCATTTCTTAATCAAAAAAATTTCTGCTAATAACCAATATAGCAGTTTTTTCTTATGACCAGCTCGCTACACCTGATGCCAACCCTCCTCCTTTACCCTAGCTTGGGACAAGCCATGCATGACATACAAACAGTTCCTATTTAAACAAAATAAAAGCAAAGCGCAAATGTTTGCCAAGCAAACCAGCATCACAAACAGATTAAAGAAACCCACCAAAGTGCAGGACATCTTCAGGATCCACCTCAACATGAAAATTTTGTACTAGCACATCTTATCAGTTGCCATTTCCATAATTCATTTGAAACATGACAAATGTATAACTCGGGCTTTTCATCGTACAGCTTGTGTGCGGTCAAAATAAATATACAACACAAAACCATCAGAACCATCACCACCACGAAGGCTAAGGCTTTAAACCATCATCAAAACAACTACAAAACAATATCAATCTGTCAACAATACATCTATGAATTGGAAAGTTGGTGATAGTGGTGATCGTGGGTTGGGTCAAGTCAAGTTGTGGAAAAATTAAGGTCCAAACCGATTAAATATGGGTCCAGTTCAGTTCGGTTTATGAAAAACAATTTGGTCAACTCAAATCAACCAGCCCAATCACATTCAGGTTGGTTTGGTTCAGGTAATCTGGTTGTACATATACTTATATTTTTTTTAAAAACAACATCCATAAAAAAATATATACAATTGAAAAAAAAAACATAAGAAAAAAATTGGGGGGAAAAAAGAAAATTTTTAATTCAATTCTTCTAGTTTTGGATAAAGGTAATGTTCTTGTAGTATAATTCTATTCTTCTACAGCAATGCTTGAAGATGCATGCTTAAAAAAATAAAAATAGTTGAAAATGAAACTGAAAAGAGAGTAAAAGGACATTTACTTTAATAGATAGACGTAAATAAACCTACCAAGTAATAATGTATACACACGCTAACCATGTCTCTGCTACTGCAATGACTTACAAATCACCTTCTAAAAACAGAACTCCAACTTATGCTCTATTAACTTTTTCTGGATTAGTGCTTCCCCCCCTTTACAACTTGAAAAGAACAAAGCTCAGGTTCTAGGATCGACATATGTACAAAATAGATGAGACCCCAGAATCTGAATCAAGATCTGAAACAAACAAGCCCATTTCTGAACAAAGCCATTTAATGGTTGGGTTGGTATTTCATCAAACACAACACTCCTTTTCGAAACAAATCCAATATGTAAAGCAACACAGGACAGCAGTAAAACCGAAGACATGTTTCAAACATTCATTCGTTAAAAATAAAATCAAGAGCTATACAATCACAAATTCAACTATTAACATATATCACGCATTAGTTTATTTTCAAAAAGTTCAGGCATTCCATCAAACAGGTCGTAGGCAAGTGTGCAGATTCATTAAATCATCCAAGTTCTAACAAGTTACAACCCGCCCAACACAAGGCATCAACCATCATTCAACATGAATTTTTAGGGAGACTCAGTCATTTGATACAAACTACAACATTATATAACATATTCGACCCAAACGTTAAAAAGTGTAATAAATTATAATTGGTTGGTGGGGATCCTAGAATTTTGGGGTAATGGCAAGTGCCCCAATAGATATTATTGCAGCCTCTCAATCACTGATTCAATGTTGGGTTTCCATAGCAAGCAACAAGATGAACTACTCAACTACATGTCAAACTGTCAATAGCTTCAGCTCAAGAATCAGAATGAGAAAAGGGCTTACCGTGACCACGTGAGGCGTGAGCTGTGAACTGTGAAGAATAACCGGTGAATCGCAATGGAATGGGCGGAGGAGAAGTAATCGGCGGGAAGAGCGAAAGGCGATGGGGACGCCGACTGCAAGGTTTAGGATTCGAGTAGGGTTTAAAACTTCAAAATTCTCAAGCAGCCATGAAAATGCACACGCGAATAAAATGGATGAGTCACGTCCTTCCGGTTTGATGGTTTTTTTTTTTTTTTTTGGTTGGGTTAGTTTTTTTTAAAGTTATTTATTGAAACTGGAGGCAGGATATAATTTATTTTATTCACTTTTACTATCAATCTAATCACTATTGATTTTAGTTAATTTAACGATTATAATTTATTAAGAATTAATAATTAATTAATAAGTACAACTCAATGATTTTCAATAAAGTATAGTCGTTAGATTAACAGAAATCAACAATGGTTAAGTGGGTTGTAAGGGTGGTAAACTTTTTTGGTAGTAAATATATATTTTCCCTTAAAACTATGTGGTTTTGGATGAAAATTAGATGTATTTATAATTTTAATTTATTTCAGGTTATATTATTTTAATTTTTTAACCTAAAATGATATTGTTTCGGTGAATAATAGAAAAAATTATCTAAAGTAATATTAGTTTTTTTTTAAGAAAATAATTCTCAAGAAAGAGTTATATCATGTAATATAAATAAAATTACAAGCGAGACTTACAAATAAGAGGAGAAAAAAAATAGAGATGAAATTCATTTTTTTTGTTGTGCCTAAGAAATTTGTTTCTCTTATTCAACGTACGAGAAATATAACCTCTTCTTTTTATGGGAAGAATGTTTGACGGTAATTTTTGTTAAAATAATTGTTTTTTATTTAATATTTAAGTTAAAAAAATCAATTTTTTCATGATTTTTATTAATAATTTTTTTCACCATAAAATACTGTAATTTTGTCTAAAATAATAATATTTAATTTTTTTTAAAAGGATAAATACTATTCCCACTTATTATAGACTTGAATTAAAAATAATTTGGTTTTATTCATTTTCACCCAATTACCAAATCAAATAAAATGAAAGGTTGCATGGAAAAAAAGGAAATGATATTTCATTTAACGAGTGATAAGTCCAAGTTGCCCGCACTATAGTTGAGTAACTTGAGTTTGAGTTAGTCGTAGTCGTAGCATACTTGAATTGGATTAATGTAATCCATAAATTAATGGATGATATCAGAAGAAGAAAAAATTAGACTGTACATGTGATTCAATCGGTATTGTATTAAAATGAAACAAGAATATGTACTCAAAGCGTGGCAAGATCTATATAAGATTAGTTTATTATTAAATGAGGTGTTTCAGGAGTTTTTATTTTTATTTTTTTTGACACTTTTAGAACCATATCTTTGGTATTATAACATTATCTATTCCTCTATTAAAAAAAAAAAAAATGAGACTTGGGTGACAATAACCATAAAGGGTGTGCAAAATTAAAAAAGTCAATTATATTACTTTTTTCTAAATTTGGTAAAAGATATGTTGAGTTTCTTCTTATAGTCCAAGTTCGATAAAGTCAATCTCATGCATCATGAAGATTATGGTAGTTGTATTTGGTATATCTTATAGTAGTTGAATTACGATGTACTTATATCTATTTATTCTAAATAGTGTTTTTAAGAAATCCAATGTGATCAGCTCAAGAAATTTGGGTCAGTCACAAATGGTTAAATGTGGTCCATTAGGGATTTTGGACTGGATTACGGGTGCTTGAGGAGGCTCCTTTAAGAAATTTCATACCTAACCATGATTAGCTAGCAATTAAATTGGCATTTCATCAAATAAGGGATAGGAAACTAAAAATTATGAGAAAAATTTATACAATAGAAGTTCACAGAGTCTTCTATCCAATCAGTTCACCAATAACATATAGTACACATTTTAAGATTTTAACCAGCCAAAGAACACAAATTTTGAAGATACAGAGCTTCATATATGATCAATGAAAGTTGACTAGTCCAAATGAAAATGCATAATGGCATGACTCTATTCACGACTTCTTAGATCGATTTACAACAGCAAAAATCCAGAAGAATTTTAGTTCTATTAGATATATAAAAAATCATTAACGTAGCCTCATCCACATATTTAAACTTTTGAGTTGAATTGATTTTTTATATGGTGTCAGAACATGGTGTCACGGGTTCAATTCTTACTATTCCCAATTTCTCTTATAAAATTTCTTAGCACGTGTAGGTAGATTTGTTCATTGTCCACTCTTCAAGTCCAATAGACTCTTGTGTAAGGAGATGTGTTAGAAAAATATAAAAAATTATTAATATAATCTCACCCACCAACTTAAGTTTATTGGTTGAATTGTTTCTTCGTAAGTTCCAAGATGGTTGGTTATTAGATATGGTTCATACTTTGAATTCATATAATTTTGGATGACCGCTCTTATTGATGCGAGGGAGAGAAATGATTTTGGAAGCATGTTTTGTTGCGGTGCGTGGATAATCTTGTCTTCCTTGTCCACCATTTCCAGAGCCCCTTCCCCTTAAACTTCTTCTATGGACAACAGATATATAGAAGCGTGTTGATACACATATATACCAAGTTACCTACCAGCATAAAGTAAGAAAGAATGTGTTACAATGCAAAGATCCCATAGGGTTAAGATAAGTTCAATCCGTTTGGATGATTATGTAGCATAAGTGTCATATGATGTAATTGGGTAGTTATACAGCTGTCAGGTAGTTAGTGGTAAGGAAAAGGTGTAATACAAATAAAATTGTAAGATTGTTTTGAAACACATTGAATAAGAATCCAGAATTTTGCTTTATCTTTCACTCAGTTTCTCTCATTTCCCTGCCAATTAGGATCCATATCCTAATATTGGTGCTTTCATCCTTGAACACCCAAAACGTTGATTTCTTGGTTTTCATTCGTCGAAAAGCTTGAAGACTCATATAGATCTACAATGCGGATTCAAGAGTTAGCAGAGGAATTCACCTTGTTCCAACAGCGCATAGACAACAACATTGAAGAGATTCGTCTTCAAGCTACCGATACCCAGAATCAGATCTCCTTGTTCGTAACTCAAATGTAGCACCTTCAAAAAGCATTCGTGTCACGACCACCGCCGGGAAGGAACTCTTTGAGGTTTCAACAACTTTTTCAAGATGAGTCCACCTTTTCACGACAAACCATGAAGCAAAAATGACCTATTCCGAAGTTGCATCACTTGAAAACAAGCTCCACCTGAAGCTATGGCAAGTCATTTTAAATCATCAAAAGGTATTTGTTATCCCTTCTGTCCTTCCTCTTTTTCGTGGATGGACCATTCCATTCATTTGATGGAGAGCACCAAGCCCATCAACGTGGAGCATTATCATTATGCTTATGCCCAAAAGACTCAAATAGAACGCCAGGTTTCAGATTTACTCAGAACAGGCTTTATTTAACACTCACAGAGTCCCAATTCTTCTCCAGTGCTCTTAGTTAGGAAGCAGGATAACACGTGGAGGCTTTGCATCGACTATAGGGCCTTAAATACAGCTACTATCAAAGACAGGTTCCCAACACCTACAATCGACGAGTTACTAGATGAATTGAGAGGCTCTTCCATATATTCCAAGTTAGACTTAAGAGCAGGTTACCATCAAATACGAATGTTTCTTGTTAATGTGTTAAAAGCAGCCTTTAGGACTCATGAAGGCCACTATGAGTTCTTAGTTATACCTTTTGGCCTGACAAACGCACCAACTACTTTTCAAGCTGTCATGAACCACATTTTCAAACCCTTCCTTCGAAAATTTATAATTGTTTTTTTATGACATTCTGATTTTTAGCAGGTCTTTAATGGAGCATGTTAATCATGTGGCATTAGCTATTGAGTGCCTAAAAAAGAATCAAATTTTTGTGAAGGCTAGCAAGTGTACCTTTGGGGTGGATACTGTTGATTACTTGGGGCATGTGGTTTCAAAGGAGGGTGTCTTTCCTGACCCAAAAAAGATTGAGGCCATGATGCAGTGGCCAGTGCCTAAGTATCTCAAACAACTCTGTGGTTTCCTTGGCACAACGAGGTACCACCATAGGTTCGTGAAAGGCTATGCTTCCTTGGCATTACCTTTGACAGATCTGCTAAAAAGTTCAAAGGCCTTTCATTGGACCGAAGCTGCTATGGAGGCATTCCAGAATCTCAAGGAGTCCATGACTTCCACACATATCTTAGCTCTTCCTAATTTTGCAGGGCGATTTATGGTGGAAACAGATGCATCTAACACTGGTATTGGTGTAATGCTGTTGCAAAATGACAAGCCCCTTTCATTTTTTAACAAGAAGTTGGGAATACGCATGTAAAATGCCTCCACTTATGTACGTGAATTATTTTCCATTACAGCTGCTATCAAACGCTAGCGGCAATACTTGCTGGGTTCGGATTTCACTATTCGAATTGAACAGCAAAGTATCAAAGAAATTTTGACCAAATGATACACACTTCAGAACAACAAAAGTATTTGAGTAAACTTTTGAGGTAAAGTTTTAAAGTTGAGTATAAGGCTGGGTGTTCCAATGCTTTTTGTTGATGCCATTTCCAAGATTTATGAGGAAGGATCCTTTCATGCCTTGTTGTCATTACCCTTTTTTGATATTGTGACAAAAATACAACAACAAAACAAAACTGACCCTTATCTATTGCAGCTACATCAACGGGTTCGTGATAAGATAATTGTTGATACTGACATATCAGTTCATGGAGGAATCTTATTCCACAAGCATAGATACTTCCTAGGTCCATCATCATCTCTCATTCCAGCTCTGATTCATGAAGCTCGTAGCTTTCCTATTGGGGGTCACACGGGTATCTTGCATACTTTTCTCAAATTATCCTCTACATTTTATTAGCACTCTATGAGAGGTGATGTCAAGCGGGTTGTCAGTGAGTGTGTTATCTGCCAACAGGTGAAACCCGAGACTTCAAAAGCTTTGGGACTACTTCAACCTCTGCCTATTCCAGAAAGAGTCTTTAAGGAATTGACCATGGACTTTATCTCTGGGTTGCCTTCGTCCAAAGGTTTTACTACAATCATGGTAGTCATTGATAGACTTTCAAAGTTTGCCTATTTTGGTGGTCTCCCTTCCCATTATACAGCTGCATCAGTGGCAGCTTTATTTTGTGATTTGATCTTACGAAATCATGGTTTTCCTCGCTCCATCCTCTCTAATCGTGATAGTATTTTCGTAAGCCATTTTTTGACTCAATTATTCACTCTCAGTGGCACCATACTCCATACATCATCTTCCTACCGTCCATAGAGTGACGGTCAAACAAAGGTAACTAATAGATACTTAGAACAATATTTGAGTTCCTTTTTCCATAATTGTCCTCATTCTTGGTCCAATTTTCTTTGCTGGGCTCAATTTCACTATAATTCAGCAGTTCATTCCTCTATTGGCATCACACCATATCAGTCTGTGTTTAGCAAGCCTCCTTTGATGATTCCTTTTTATCCTAAGGGTTTAGTGAAGCTTGAGGCTATAGATTCTCAGTTGCAGCAGAGAAATGAGGTGTTAACTGAGTTAAAAATGCAATTGGAGCGTGCTAGGAATCGAATAAAGGTGCAACATGATAAAAGCCACAAGGAAAGATCATTTGCTGTGGGGGATCAGGTTTTGGTCAAGCTCCAACCCTACCGTCAAGTGTCAGTAGCCAGACGCTCCAATCTTAAACTAGCTCGAAGTTTTTTTGGCCCATTTCTTGTCTCTAGAGTTCTTGGCTCGGTAGCTTATCAGTTGGAGCTTCCTCAGGGTTGTCAGCTACATCCTGCGTTTCACGTGTCTTACTTAAACCCTTTAAAGGATCAACTGCACCATTGGGTGCTTCCTTACCATCAGCAGCTATTGATAACAGACCTATTCAAGAACCTTTGGCAGTTTTAGCAATTCGTTATATTGAGGATGGTGATTAGTAGAAACATAAATTTTTGGTGCAGTGGTTTGACGCAATTCCCGAAGATGCATCTTGGGAACATGAAGAGCAGCTGCTTTGTGCTTACCCATACCTGAACCTTGAGGACAAGTTTCCTTGTCAAGGGGGAGGGAATGTTATGATGCGAAGATCCCATAGGATTAAGAGAAGTTCAATCCATTTGGATGACTATATAGCATAAGTGTCATATGATGTAATTGGGTAGCTATACAGCTGTCAGGTTGTTAGTGGTAAGGAATAGGTGTAATACAAATAAAAATGTAAGATTGTTTTGAAACACATTGAATAACAATCTAGAATTTTCCTTTATCTTTGAGTCAGTTTCTCTCATTTTCCTGTCAATTAGGATCCATATCCTAATAGAATGATGCCAAAAAAAAAAATTTGAATTGATTGTACGAATCTTACGTGATCTCAGTTATTATTAAATATTGATGTTTATGTGATGGCAAAATAAGCTTCTAAAAATTTTAATTTATTCCGTACTATTATGATTTTAGTATGATTTATTTATGCTGTTTGATTAAAATTTAAAACCAAGGAGAATTTTCATATTGAGTTATGATCGAAAATATTATATTTTTTTTTCAAAAAAATTAACTAGTATTTTCACTAAGATCAAATCTCAATAAATGTGTATTTTTATAAACCAAGGACAAAGGTTAAGGTATTTGTTCTTCATGTCAGAGACAGAAATGTTAGTCAGAATATATCAACTTTGGATATTCAATTACGAAATTTTGCAACTAAAATATTATTTTTCATCTATTGTAATTTTGTATTATAAGGCATATGTAACCCTATGTTAGTTTGTTGGTTTGTAATTTGACATGTGCAAACATTATTTATGTGTATAACATTTTTCTTAAAGATTTATATTCTTAATTTTGGTATTTTATTAAAAAAAAAATATAGAATGCGTAAAAAATGTTCCTTGATTAAAATTGAGGAATGTTATTTGTTTGAAAAAAACAAATAAATGATGTTACTATTCAGCTCTTGAATGATATTTTTTACGAATCAAAGTTTAAAATAAAATATATTATAAATTTAAAAATGATACTAGGCTCTCGAATTACCTAACTATAAGGTCCATTTTAACATGACAAAAGGAATAGAAGGAATATTACTAAAAATTAAATATTTTTCTTATCTGAATATAAATTGCTAATAAAAAATGCTCAAGATTTAAGAATAAAAGAAAAATATGATGAGAAATATACATTTTTTCTTAATACTCACATTTTTTGTTTTCTCTATATGGGGTTGAAATTACAATGAATTTTGTTCATTTTGATGTATTTTATTGAATATAAAAACAGATTTTGAGAACATATTGTGATTCAAACACTTTCTAAAGATGAGTAAAAGTAATTGAAATTCGATTCTCATTGAAGTTGGGATTTGAATCTTTCCATATAAAAAAGTGATCATGTTATTTAATTACAATTACTCATTTAAAAATCATATACTTTTCTCTCTCTTATCTCATCATCAATAAATAATTGTGATTAAAATAACATGACATTTTCACATGAGAGAATCCAAATCCTTAAAATTGAGACTAATAGTCTCTGCTTATCTCACAAGAAAGTATGTCTTTCCCTAATTTAAACTTAAAGATAATAGATCTAATTTTAACTTGAGTATCGGAGTGACTAGTAAGTATCTTCACATCTGTCTCGATCAAGCAAAAACCTTAAACACCAACCATCTCGCAAGAGTACAGTCAAACCCAGCATTATTCAGTTTGATTTAATAGATCAATAAACTAAATTCGCAAGTTAATATAATATATATATATATATATATATATATATATATATATATATATATATATATATATATATATATTAGCATATTTTTCAAATGAACTATATTACACCAGTAGAACCATCTTATATAAATATAAATTACATTCTCAATCTACTAATAATACAAAAAATTGGATTAAAAGGGACTTCATGCCTGTTATACATTTTACAGAAGGAGAATATTATATAAAAATAAAAAATAAAACTAAAATTTGAGTGTGTTCTCCTTGCCCGGTGATGCTGAGTTCTGCTGGCAAGGAAGGGAGCAAATATCAATCGAGCAAACATATTTTGTCTCCTCATCTTGGCGTTGCATAGATGATTCTAACTTGACTGTTCTTACGATAACCCTACATTGTAAATGGAAATCGGAATAACAAATCCTATTTCAATAGCGAATATATCTGAAGCAATATTCTGGATTATGTTTGGTCCTGTTTCACTTTTTCTTAGGTGTAAAACCAACTAACGTAGAAAGCATAACCGACTTCAGTTTCCAATACCCATTAATATCTGTACTCAGGAGACAAAAATTCAAAGAACCATTACAATTAAGGCAATTGAAAAGGAAAAGATAAATAATTTGAATGGACCTGGGGCAGCAATCGTGAACCAAAAATTGGAAAAAGTTTGATGTGATGCTCAAACTATAACAAACTTAATTTGGTTCTCCACATATCCCCAATGACCTTTCTTGGTTGTGGGTTATCTGGTCCTCTGTCCCGTTGTCCTGATGTAAAGTATAACCATCCATCCCAAAAACCAGCTAATGTTGTTTTCACACGGTAAGGAAGCTTTCCAATCACTGACCAAGTCTGCAATCAGTAATATAACTATTTCAAATGATATGAATGTATATCACCCATCAGAAACATCCATGATTCAAATGTTTAAAAATGACATTCTATCACTTCAATGAATTCATTTCAATCTAGAGGACAACAAACTTTTTGTGGTGAATGCATAAAAACCAAATCAACTACTACCAGCAGTAATCTAGAAGCATTTTCAGAGCAATAACAGGTTAACATAACACTATCCAAGATTTTTTTTTTAAACCACAACTAGATATATCCACATAAAATTTGTATGCCCAACCAAGATCATCTTTAATCAAGAACAACAATGACCAACAAGTACACCACTAAGAATTCATCAGCTTCGTTACCATGAACAAAGGGAATGCCATAATAAAATAGAAGAGCAAACATGACTCAAGAATGTTGAATGTTTTATGATGGCCTTAATTATCAGAAAGTAGTTTTACAAAGCTTATTGTGAACTCTAAAAATCAAGATTCTATGGACAAGAATCATTACATCAATATACCAATTAAGGAATAAATTGTTAGTTGGATTACATAGATGATTAATTCATTTGATAACCATTCATAAAACTACACTAGCCAATAAGCATAAGTGAGAGGCATCAATGGATATAAAGAAATGCACAAGCTTTTCTTAATGAGCAAAAGCTTACCATAGAGTCTAAATTAAATCGGAAGACCTCCCCAACCAGCATCATCCTTTTTGTCATTGGGTGCTTTTCGGTTGTACCTCCAGTGATAATGTTGTAAATATTAGTTATTTACTTAATTATTATTATTTGTTGTATTGGGCCAAGCCCATTAGGTCAAGAATTAGGTCTTTTATTCTCTATAAATAGAGACCTCTTTGTACAGATTATTTACACAATTAATAATAATTTTCTGATTACCCTTTTCAAGTTAGTATCAGAGCTCTCGACCCTGAGGGCTTTGCTTCCGCGCTTACGAAACCTTTTATTCTTTTTTCGTCTCTCGCTGCCATCAGCCGCCACCGGAAAAATTATTCCGGGGACCTCTTGGACCGAGAAGATCACTGTTCCCCTTGTTTTTTGTCTCTTGTTTCTGACTCACAGCAGCCAACAACGCGAACACCGTAAGACAGCCTCTGTTCATCGCCTTTTTTGGACCTTTTTCCGGCGGTTTTTCAACTCCGACCAACCACAGATAGAACCGCGCTCGCCGGACGACCTTGCCACAGAAATCTCAACCCGGAAAGCCACCGCATGCGCCCACACGCGCCACCATCTTCACCACAAGTGACACCCACGCGCCGACAGCTTCACCGGCGCGTGGCCTCGAGTCTCCACCGCGGACCACTGCCGTTCTGATCGTCTCTTCATCCTCTTTCTGGATCTGTGCTTTTCTCTCAGATCGGACATCGTTTGGTATTTTTTTGTGATTTTTTGGCTCCTTGGTGTTATCCTTTGACTGTTTTTGTGCAGTATGGACTTTTCCGACACTGAATCAACTCTTGTAAACACAACTACTAATTCTTCTACACAATCTGTGGTGACCCCTCTTGGTCACAATGATCTTCCTGCTCTTCATCAGAATTATAGTCTGAATGGAAAGAATTATTTACAATGGTCCCAGGTTGTTCGTACCATTCTCAAAGGACGCCGTAAAGTTGCTCATGTTGAAGGACCTGTTCCTGCCAAAACAGCTCCACCATTTGCTGATTGGGATGATGAAGACTCACTTATTATGACGTGGCTATGGAACTCTATGACTCCTGAGGTTAGTCAACATTGCATGTTTTTACCTACTGCTCTTGAGATCTGGAACGTTCTTAAGCAGACCTATTCAATGAAGCAAGATGCTGCCACTTGTTATGATCTGAGGAATCAGATTTTTTCTACCAAACAAGGCTCTCTCTCTATAACAGAATATTATGGTATTATGAATAAGTTATGGACTGAGCTTGATCAGTACGAGAATTTGAAGATGGAATGTAGCAAGGATGCAGCCACACTGACCACCTCCATTGAACGCCATAGGATCTATGATTTTCTTTGTGGTCTCAACTCAGAATATGACCCTATTCGAGTTCAAATTCTTGGTAAGGAAAAATTACCGTCTCTTTTTGAAGTTTTTCACATTGTCAGGGGTGAAGAAAGTCGCAAGGCTGTCATGATGGATACCAAAGTGTCTGAAGGGTCCATTATGCTCTCATATAAAGTTACTACTCCAACTCCTTCTGATTCTAATCCCACTGATGGGTCTGCTATGATTTCAACAAAAAAGGATGGTTCTTCTCAAAGGAATTCCTTTACAAAATTTTCTTATGGTGCATCTTCTAGACCTAAGAAAAATGATCGCTGGTGTTCTTATTGTAAAAGAACGGGTCATATCAAGGATCTATGCTTTCGCCTCCATGGAAAGCAAACGGTCTTAGAAAAGATGGCAAGGATGCGTGGTCAAGCGCATTTTACTTCCTTTAATATAGCTCCTGCACCTAATGAGACCCAATCTGCATTCCGTCAAGATGAGTTGGAACGGCTCCGAACCATCCTTGATTCTCTGAGTAAGCCATCTTATACTAATGCTTTGGCTATGACTGGTATGAGCTCCAAAACTTATTCTTTTCTTTCTTCATGTACTGATTTTAGACATTCTTGGGTTGTTGATTCTGGTGCTACTGATCATATGGCTTGTTGTGTTGACCCCTTTACTTCTTATCATCCTACCATTGGAACTCATACAATAGTTGTAGTTGATGGCTCACATACATCAGTTGCGGGTTCTGGTAACATAAACTTACAGCAGTCCTTACATCTTAAAGATGCTCTTCATGTTCCTAAACTCTCCACGAATCTTCTTTCCATTCATAAAATCACAAAAGATTTGAATTGTACTGTAACCTTCTTCCCTACTCACTGTGTTTTTCAGGATCTCGCCACGGGGAAAACGATTGGTAGTGCTAAAGAGCAAGGTGGGCTGTACTATCTGGTGTCACAATCTCCCGCCAATAAAGTAACGGATCACATCTTGTTGTCTCATGGTCAATCAACTGCTGACTCTTTGATTTGGCTTCATCATAAGCGCTTGGGACATCTTCCATTTAGTTTACTCAAGTCTTTATTTCCGTCATTGTTTTTTGTCTAAGTCTGTTGAGTCTTTTCATTGTGATGTTTGTGAGTTTGCTAAGCATCATCGTGTGTCTTTTCCTTCTAGTATTACTAAAAGTGTTGAACCTTTTGATCTTATTCATTCTGATGTTTGGGGTCCTTCTAAGATCCCTCATTCTTCTGGAAATAAATGGTTTGTTTCTTTTATTGATGATTGCACTCGTGTAACTTGGGTTTACTTAATGCGTGAAAAGTCTGAGGTACCACAACTATTTTTTCAATTTTATAAAATGGTTGAGACCCAATTTGGTAAAAAAATCAAGCGACTAAGGACTGATAATGGTACTGAATATGTTAATCACTGTTTTTCCCAATTTATACGGAATAACGGTATGATTCATGAATTTACTTGTGTTGACACCCCTCAACAGAATGGGGTTGCTGAAAGAAAAAATCGTCACCTTCTTGAAGTGGCTCGTGCATTAATGTTTCAGACACATACCCAAATACTATTGGGGAGATGCCATTCTTACTGTAGCATTCTTGATCAACCGTTTACTCACTCGGGTACTTGACCATGTAAGTCCTATTCACTCTATAGCTTCTTTTTTCCCTTCTATTCCAACTATGAGTCTTCCTCCACGAGTGTTTGGGTGTGTTGTTTTTGTTCATGTTCATAAACATCATCGCAGTAAGTTGGACCCTAGGGCTCTTAAAATATGTCTTCCTTGGTTACGTTCCTGATAAGAAGGGCTACAAGTGCTATCACCCTGGTAGTCGGAAATTTTTTGTTTCTATGGATGTTACATTTCAGGAATCTGAATCCTTTTTCCAAGATCCTCATCTTCAGGGGGAGAATAATTCACCAGAAAACTCATCACCTTCCTTCTTTGAGTTTGAATCTTCAGTTGATTCATCACCTTCCTTCTTTGAGTTTGAATCTTCAATTGTGTCAGTCTATGAAGCACCGACACCATAGTAGTCAATAGCGGCGCTATTGAGCCGCAAGCCGTGCCAGTTGCGCTTTGCGGAGCTTCGCCGCAACCATCCACACCGCGCCGCATCAGATCGCAATAGCGGTTGTTGCGGCCCCATTTGCGGCCAAATCTCGCCGCAACAGTGTCTTTTTATGGTTTTAACCCTAACCCACTCTCTCTTCCTACCTTTTTGCCTCTCTGTTGTGCGTCTCTCTTCTGCCTCTCTTGCTTTCTTTATCGCGCTCGTTTTCTCTCTTATAGTATTGAAGTTCAATGTGGAAGCCATGAACAAAGAAGCAAAGCTTTGAGTGAGAGAAATAGTGAGAGAGAGAGAGAGAGAGACAAAGCAGATGACGGAGAAAAGGAGAAATAGTAAGAGAGAGAGAGAGAGAGAACATATGAAGGAGAAAAAGAGAAACTGTGTGAGAGAGAACGGATGAAAGAGAAAAAGTGAGAAAGAGATTATGATCTATCTTTATTCAAAGTACGGAAAAGTACATTTGTCAGAAAAGTGATTCACAATTCACGATAACCAAGTAACTTGGTTATAGTAATAGTGGGTAAAACTATTTCTATATCTCAAAAAAAAAAAAAATGCATCATTAAAAGGTAACTAAGGTAAAAAACACTAAAGTAACTAAGATAAATCTGGTAAATCAGTAAAGTATAGTTACAACTAAAGGTAGTACAACTATAGCTAAAGTTTGGACACTTATTGCTAAGAGGTAACATGTCAACTCTACCTTTATTTTTAATTTTTTTTTTTATTATTTATCTTTATATTTTTTTTATTATTTGTTTTTTTTAGGTGTTATTATTTTTTAATAATTTATTATGTTACACACACACACACATATATATATATACATATAATTTGTTTTTTTAATAAATATATTTTTTCCGCTATTTCCGCAACCGCAACCCGCAATAATGCTATAGCAATTTTAAGGGTTGGCCGCATCAGGCCGCAATCTGCATTTGATAACTATGACCGACACTTCAAAAACCTTGACGTGTCGTGTCCGACACTTCTCGACACTCTCCGACACTCCAACACGCGTTGTAAACACTCAAAAAATGGTTCAAAGGTTGCGTTGCGTTTTTAGTTCCAACTATTAGATTCGTTGAATTACGATTACGATTTTATTGAGTTTAATATAAATATTTGGGATATCTTATGTTTTTTTGCAAAATTGATGGGTATTATAAGTTTAACTTCATTTTTTTGTTAAATTATTGTATACTAAATATAATATACAGTACATAAATTAAAAATATTATTTAATATAAAAAAGTATCCTAACGTGTCGAAATCTAACATTTTTTAGAATTAACGTGTCGGAGTGTCGTATCGTGTCGTGTCACGTGTCTCGTGTTCGTATCGGTGCTACATAGGTGTCAGTGTCTCCTCCTCTTGTTCCTGTTCCTCCTCTGTCTGATCCTCCTGTGAGTGATCCTCCTGTGACTGATCCTCCTGTGACTAATCCTCCTGTGACTGATACATCAAGTACACCAGAGATACAGAAGATTGTGACACCTGAATTGGTATATCAAAGAAGGAAACAACCCACATTGCCCCACCAGCAACCTCAATCGTTTGAACCACTGGTAAGTCCTGAATCTCATATTTCTGATCATGATGTTAATACTTCTGATGACTTAGCCATTACTACTAATTCTGATGATTTACCCATTGCTCTAAGGAAAGGAAAAAGATCTTGTTCCAAGAAATCTTGTTCCTCATGTCCCTCTTGTACTCAATACCCTATCTCCCATTTTGTTTCCTCTGCTAATCTTTCTGTGCAGCTCAAAAGCTTTGTTTCAGCACTAGATTCTATTTCAATCCCAAAATCAGTACATGAAGCCTTGAAAGATGGGAATTGGGCTCAAGCCATGCAAGATGAGATGAATGCGTTGGAGAAAAATAAAACATGGGAGGTTCTTGATAGACCTAACGGAAAGAAAGCAGTAGGGTGCAGATGAGTTTATGCCCTGAAATATAATTCTGATGACACTCTTGAGAGATACAAGGCTCGATTAGTCGCCAAAGGTTACACTCAAACCTATGACATTGATTATGAAGAAACCTTTGCTCCAGTTGCAAAGATGAATACGGTGAGAGTCTTGTTATCCCTTGTTGCCCATTACAATTGGGATATAAATCAATTTGATGTGAAAAATACTTTCCTCAATGTGAGTTAGAAGAAGTCTACATGGAAATCCCGCCTGATTTTGATTCTGTGAAGGGAGAAAATAAAGTTTGTAGATTAAAAAAGGCCTTGTATGGATTGAAATAGCCACCTCGTGCCTGGTTTGGAAGGTTTACTAAGGTTATGATGACCTTAAGATACAGACAGAGTCAAGGAGATCACACTCTTTTCTTCAAGCACTCCCGAAATGGGAAGCTTACTGTGCTCCTTGTATATGTTGATGATATTATTTTCACAGGTGATGATTTTGTGGAGACAGATTCTGCAAACACGGCTTGCCTCTGAGTTTGAAGTCAAAGACCTTGGGAAACTAAGATATTTCCTAGGGATAGAAGTAGCTCATTCAAGCAAAGGAATTTTTATCAGCTAGAGGAAATATGTCCTTGATTTTCTCAAAGAAGCAGGAAAACTCGGGTGTAAACCCTCTAATACTCCTATTGAGCAGAATCACAAGATAGGCTATGAAGAGGACAATATCAATGGCTAGTTGGAAAATTGATATATCTAGCTCATACTAGACCAGACCTAGCTTATGCTGTTAGTGTTGTCAGTCAGTTTATGCACGATCCAAAGGAGAAACACATGCAGGTAGTAGAGAGAATTCTTCAGTATCTTAAAGATACTCCAGTAAAGGATTGTTATTCCAACGTGATGGCAATCTCTCTTTAGAAGTCTACACTTATGCTGATTATGTTGGATTCGTGACTGACCGTCGATCTACCACTGGTTATTGCATGTTTCTTTGCGGTAACTTGGTGACATGGAGAAGTAAGAAACAAGATGTGGTTGCCAGATCAAGTGCAGAAGCTAAATTTCGAGCTATGGCTCAAGGATTTGTGAGTTACTGTGGCTGAAAATTGTACTTGATGATCTCAAAATAAAATGTGAGGGACCTATGAAGCTGCTATGTGATAATAAGTCCGATATTTGTTTAGCTCATGATCCAGTTCAACATGATCGAACTAAACATATTGAGGTCGACCGCCATTTCATCAAAGAGAAACTTGATAGTGGGTTGATTATCACTCCATACATTCCTACTGGGCGTCAATTAGCTGATCTATTGACAAAGAGACTTCCTTCAGACAGATTTCAAGAACTTCCTAGCAAGCTGGGAATGATAAATATCTATTCCTCAGCTTGAGGGGGAGTGTTGTAAATATTAGTTATTTACTTAATTATTATTATTTGTTGTATTGGGCCAAGCCCATTAGGTCAAGAATTAGATCTTTTATTCTCTATAAATAGAGACCTCTTTGTACAGATTATTTACACAATTAATAATATTCTTGTCCATAAAATCAAGATTCTATGGACAAGAATCATTACATCAATATACCAATTAAGGAATAAATTGTTAGTTGGATTACATAGATGATTAATTCATTTGATAACCATTCGTAAAACTACACTAGCCAATAAGCATAAGTGAGAGGCATCAATGGATATAAAGAAATGCACAAGCTTTTCTTAATGAGCAAAAGCGTACCATAGAGTCTAAATTAAATCGGAAGACCTCCCCAACCAGCATCATCCTTTTTGTCACTGGGTGCTTTTCGGTTGTACCTCCAGTGATAATAATTGAATTGTTGACAATAACCCATGCACACTCTATATGGGAGTTTGGTTTTGGCATAGGAGGCAAAACTTTCCATTTCATTTCTTTATCCAGCATATAAACATCTTCATAGACCACCTGAAACGTAAGAAAATATGGCTACAAGTCACCACTAGGCTTCACAAGAAAAGATAATATTGAGAATGCAATATATTTTGTGTCTCAGACTCTCAACATATTAGGCATTAAGAAAGAGGTGTAATTGTGCAAAAGATTGTTTGCAGCAAACTAGTAAATTCTATTCCCCATGTCATACCTTTAAAAATCAACTATCAAATTATAATATGTAACAGAGTAAAACATTCTTGCTGTTGATAACCAAAGAAAATGATACCTCATTCCTGCGTGAACACTTGAATATAGGCGAACCTGGTTTGGCCATAAAATCACCCTCTTGTCCACCGATAACAAAAAGTCGGTCATTGACTACAATGCAGGCCCTGCACCAAATAAGGTAAAGTTAGAAGAAAGCCAATTCCTTTTAAAGACAATGAATATGGCACCACTTTTCAAATATTCCTTCAAAAGCTTCTTAGGTTTTAGCGACACAGGTTTGGCTTTCTTCAAACATGGATTTTTATTAAAAAATAAATTCAAAATTGTTGTTTTAAATCAAAATCCTCACCAGAGGATATCCTTGTACCACCAGGAAACCAGATTAAAATCCTAACAAATTAAATAGAACATTATGGTCAAATATTGAACAGGAATAAAATTCTACTATTAGAATCTGGGCAGTCTGCTAACCTATGTGGTCCACCACGTGGAATGGGAATTTCAGTCCGCCATTGTTTCTCCAAAGCTTTACCATCCTTTACAGCCAGACTCCAATGATCTAATCCAGGCGTATGGCGATTCTCCTTGCTACCGCCCATGACATGGAGTCTTCCCCTCCATAATTGAGTTGCAGGAGCATACCTGGAAGATCTTATGTTAAAACTGTTCATTTGACAATTAAATAGTCCAATTTGTTAAAGTTCAGCTACTGGTAAAACTCGATCAATCATTAATGTAGTGCACAGAGACCAATTTAACTGGAATTTCAATTGTTAGATAAAAAGTCCAACGTGCAATTCACACTGATAAATAGCAAAACAAAACCAGCAGCGGGATATACAGCACAATTCATGAATATCTTAATGGCGCGCAAAAAAAACCTGGGGGATGGCAATGACGGCAGGCTTTTCCATTTCTTAGTTTCAGTGTCTAACACAAATACACGGGAAGTAGGCCCTCTGCATTGTGGACCATATTGTCCTGAAACAATATATATGTACCTCCCATCAGTTGCCACACCTAAATGTGAATGCGCCATTTCTTTAGGCGTATCAATCCTCTCTACCCATTTGTTAATGCTGAAATTGAAGATATCAACATGAGAGTGCACCTGGAAGAAACAAATAGATGCCAAAAGATTCGTCAAGGTCATCATTATCCTCAAATAATCTAAATTGACAGACAATTACCAAAGAATAAGTTTATGTTTCATAGTTACATTGTAAATGAATCCAAATAGGGGAAATGTCATAATCATAAAAGATTTTATAAGTTCAAAGATGGGAATGGATTCTCTTAAGTTTTCAAAATTTTGTGTCTATTTTTCTCCTGGTATAAAAATTCCACATGACAAGGTCAAGTGAAATATTAACATGAAAGAATCCATTCCCCCGTCACAGATATTCCCTTCTTGGCATTAACATATAAATGGTATTGAAATTGAATGCACTAAGCAAGCCAACAACTTGATGATGGATAAAATACTCACATAATCAAGAGAGCCATATCCTGCAAACACATAAAACATGTTGTTAATCTGTATAGCATACCCATCCAGCCGAGGAACAGGAGCAGATGGCATCTGCTCCCAATGCCAATCAGGAGCAGGTAAATCCGCAAAAGTAGCTGAAAGGAATCTCTTATGAACCCTATTCTTTGCATTGTTAGCATCTCCTTCCTATACAAATCACAAAATCAGACATTTAAAAACAAAAATCAATCTCTAAACATGGAATAAAATTCACAATGAAGAAACAAAGAAAGGGGCTACTTAAAAAACCCATTTTTAAAATAAAAATATAAACTTTGAAATTCAATTTTTTTTTTTACTTTCTTGATGTTAATTGTTGATCCTTCTCCCAGAATAAAAAAACAACAAAAGGGGTTGTTTACCTTGGGAAGTGTGGTAGTGGTGGTGACATTTGGAATAAGAACAACGGGTGAGTTGTTATCAAAGACCCAATTTGATGCAAATGATAAATACCGAGAAGAAAGTGAAGCCCTGAAGAGGTTTGCAATGAGAGCGACACCAAGAAGACATGAGAGGCAGAAAATGAGGACAAATTTAGTTGCAGAGAAGTGCTTTTGGTGAGACCTGGCCATTGGTTTTGGTTGGCGTGAAATGAGTGAGCCATTTATTTATGTGGGAACTTGGAGAAGAAGAATGCTTAGAGGGAGAATGAAGGAAAGGGAAATTGAATGACAGAGGAAACATTAGTTGGGCGCCAATGGTTTTGATTTTCCTTCCCCCCGATGTCTTATGTCTATCACTCCGTGGTTCCATAATACCACGCGCACCGCATCTGTTGGTTTTTGTTATTTATTTATGGGTTTATTTATTTATGAGTTTAGTGTCTGTGATTTTAAATGATTTAGATTTATATTATTTAAATAAGAGAAAGATATAATTAATGAAAATTATAGTAGAGAAAATAAAAAAAAATTAGATTTAAATTTTAAATAAAAAATACTAATTTATATATTTCTCTTACTTAAAATGATATAATTATATATCCTTTAAAATAATAAATATGTTTTTCTTTATTTATTTATTGCTACTTTTACTTTTATTCACTTTTTTGTGTGTGTTGATGTCAACAATTTATAAGCATGTATTCTCTCTTACAAAGCTTGGTTATCCAAATTAAATACTACATATGTTAATATAAAAGTTATTCAAAGGAAGTGAATTTGATTTAAAGGTTAGTGGAAGAAATTAGGTATAAAAAATAGAAACATTTTTTATGAATTGTGAGAAAGTATTTGGGTCCGTTTGGATGAGTTTTTGAAAAAAAAAAAAAAAACTTCTTATGAGTTGTTTTTTTTAAGTTAAAGTTATTTTGCATTTAGATGCAATATTAGAAAAGTACTCTTAAAGTAAAAATGTCATCTATTATATTAAATATTAAATTCTAAGACAAAGCCATTCTTTGGCAACCCCGCTTACGTGTCACTTCCTCCTTCAATTTTAGATTTCTGTTCACACTGCAAAAATTTAAAAAGTTTCCTTCTTTGGTGTAAATCAGGGAATAAAAAAATTATAAAAGAAATTATAATTTGGAATCAAAATCGATGGACATGATCTGGTATCTCAAATTGTAACACCCTGTATATATCTGGTATATTATCATATCATCGTATTAAGCTGCGCTTAATTAAAAATACGGAATATCTTTTTCTTTTCAATTATGATGTCATTATCATTACCAACTTGCTTATTAATCAATTCATAAAACATCGCATGTATGCAATTGCAATAAAACAGCTAACTGAAAATACCTCATTAATTAAAATAACATAATGTATGGCTCTAGTATATATACTTAAAGGAGAACCAAAAAGGCTGACATGTCAAGCTCTCATGCAGTTTCAGCTTTGTGTTCACACTGTGTGTTCACATTTGCATGCCAATTTTAAAAGACAAATAAATAAATAATAATAAAATAAACCAAAATTCAAAATTAAGGAATTAGTGGGAGACATAAAATTAATGTCCCACTATCATTTCTACATTGGAATTGTAAGGTTTCAATTGGAAATTATTGGAAAGTGGAAAGTCCATTAATGATATTGGAAATTATACTACTTAAAAAAAAAACTTTTGAGTTCCTCCCCTCTCTCAATTACTTTTATAAATACCAAATTCTAAAATGGCATCTTTATTTTTCCGAGCGCCTTTCTCAACTCTGATTCTTCACCCAAATCTCATCCTTTCCTTTCCCTTCATCCACTCTCATTCTATTTCTCATTTTCTTGAACATTAGTCACAGACCCGGTTACCTTTTTCCAGTCAAAGAGAAAGCAAGATAGGATCTTTAGCAAAGAAGGGATCAGATTGAAAAATTACTTGAAACAGCTCCAACAACACTTTACATGGCTTACTTTCCCTCTTCATTTATTACTGCATCTATCTCATTTTTAATTTCCCTTTACATGACTTACTTTCCCTGCTTCTTTTTTTCATCCATTTTTATTGACCGGTTGTTTTGTTAGTCCTAAAAGAGCTACCTTTAATGGTTCACGAGTAGGTGGCTAGCGACTAGCATCTTGGAAGAATTTATAAGAAACAGTCTAAAGGTCTAACCTTGCACGCGAAAGTTAGAATCTATGAGTGTGCTTTGTGGGAGCGGTATGTAGATCAAGTACAAACTTTCTTAGCATATAATCAGTTTCCTCAAAATGTGAAAAAAGGATTTTAGGGGGTTTTTTTTATCAGAAAACAAACTTTCTTAGCATATAAGTTATCTGCATTTACTTCCAAAATGACGTCGTTTTGGGATTGAAATATTAAAAAATTATAATTATAAAGACTATAATAACCCTAAAATAAATTAAAATTACAAAAATACCATGATTTTCGCCCCAAAACGACGTCTTATTGGGCTTACTGCAGATAATTTATCTGCAGTAATTGCAGAAAAAGCGAACCCTTTTTTATAGTTCTTTCTTATTTTATGCTTATGTTTCAGGGGTATCAGTGAGGAAAACGTAAAAAATGCATAAAGGTGGAAAAAGAAAAGATTAAGGCTTTATAACGGTGAAAACAAGCAATCTACCATGAAACCAGTATCATTAATGAAATTAGGGTTAAGAAGAAGAAGAACGGTTTGAGCGTATATTAGGTGAAAGATGAAAATATGGTTTACCCTCTTTTGGTTTTTCAATTTTGCAACTTCCCATTTTTTTCTTTTAATTGTATATGCACTATGCAATTGTGGCTTCATAATAACCAAAAGGATATATTATTATATATTCTTTCATTTTCTTACTTATTTTTTATTTTTTATTTTTTTCTCCACCGAACATAATTACTAATATCCTTTGTATATCCAAAAAAATAATGAATTTTCTTTATTTTCTATATGACTTTATGATGTATCCTTTGTTTATCCTTTTCATTTTCTTTTTTTTTTCTCCAGCAAAATTAAATAATTTTCAAAACTTAATTTGGTAAAACCTTCAAAAAATTAATACGCTTTAAATGTGAATAAAATATTGAAATTCCAAAAACATCTCATAATAAAGGAAAATAACTTTTTTTTTTTGGAAATACATCAGAAAATAAAAACAAAACAACAAACAAAACTAAGCAAACCTGGGGTAGGCTACCCCCCTCTGATCATTTTGGACCAGTAAACTACATCTCATCGGTGGATTAGTAAACGTCTGCAATTCCCCTTCAAGCATGTTATGATTATTCGCAAGCCAATCAGCAACTTGGTTACCTTCTCTCAGAACATGTTGAACTCGAACCATCCAAGGCCAACTAAGAAGCTCCTTAATTTTTTGAACTAAAAGCAACAACAGATGCCCTTCTTCACAATTCTGAAACAATTGCAAAGTATCTGTAGAATCCCCTTCAAGATAAATATTTTTGTAACCATTCTCCCAAGCCAACTGAAGACCCATATAAGCACCCTAGAGTTCAGCCCGAAGAACAGTACCATACCCTAACCCCTTAGAAAAACCGCATTGCCAAACTCCATCACTATTTCTGATCACTCCTCCGCAAGAAGATCTTCCCCCATTACTGATTTTTGCACCATCTATATTTATCTTGACCCAACCATGAGGAGGTGGTTCCCACATTATCATACGCTTAGGAACCCGAAAGGAACTTAGCCCCCCATTATGCAAGACTAACTTAGAATCAACAACACTCTGCACATAGCAACACACCTTGGAGATGATGACAGCAGCAGATACCTTTTTATCTTGAAAAACAATAAGGTTACGGTCCTTCTAAATATGCCAAGCAACTACACCAAACACCAAAGGCCACTCATAGTCATTTGAGCAACCTGCATTACCAGAAAGATTCCATGACAACCATTGAAACAGATCATAAGATAAATAATTCCCCCAGTGTTGAGGATGAACAAACGCTTTCCAAATCTGCATCACCATAGGACAATCCCTTATTGCATGCAAAACATCTTCATGATGCATCTCACACCGAGGACATATGTCAGAATCAGCCATATACCTATCAACTCTCAGAGAATTTGTCATTAATCTATTACCCATCATCAACCAAAGAAAAGTCTTTATACGAGGAGGTCCATCCCATCTCCAAACTCTACTCCACTGCTGCCCATGATTATCAACTTGAGAGTTTGAGAGAAATTCATAAGCACTCTTAACAGAGAAGCAGCTGTCACCTGTCTCATTCCATATAACTCTATCGTCATGATCAATAGAATTTGAGACCATAATATCAGCAATGCGGTGGTTAACCTCCATAGGAAGTAAATGCGCAAAAGTATCCCAATTCCAACCTCCTTCTGGTGACACAAAACTAGCTACCATAAGGTCACGTTCTTCTTGACTAATCGGTCTATTAGCCAACTCCTCAAGCGGACCAAAACCAGGAACCCAACAAGCAGACCAGAATTTAACCTGCTTCCCATTTCCCATATGAATTGAAGAACGATCTACAATGTTGCCCCACACCTTTACAATCCCCTTCCATAAGTTAGAAGATTGTTGCGGCTTTGGAATCACAAGAATCAAGCTATCTCCCATGTTATACTTTAGATCGAAGCACCCTAACCCAAAGAGACTCTTTATGCGTTAATAAGCCATGCCCAATTTTCATAAGGAAAGCTTTATTAGTATCATGCATATTTCTCAACCCCAAACCCCCAAGCTCCTTAGGCTGACAAACACGGCTCCAGGCAACAAGATGAGGCTTTTTATTTTCTGTAGAAGAACCCCAAACAAAGTTTCTAGTTATCTTGTCAATCTCCTCACAAGTGGACACCGGAAAAAGATTAGTTTGTATCGCGTACATGGGGATGGTTGTGATAACAGCTTTTGCAAGAGTCACCCTACCAGCCAAAGACAAAGATGATTGGGACCAGTTAGACAATCTTTTCCTCAACCTATCAAGCACGTAGTTGAAAGTATTTCTTCCAACACGACAATGATGAATAGGGACGCCAAGATATCTCCCCAAGTCGGCTGTTACATTAAAACCCAGCACATCACACACCTCCTTAGCTCTAACATGGTTTACATTCTTGGAGAAGTAAACACGTGTTTTTTCATGACTGATTTTTTGGCCAGAAGAAGCACAAAAACAATCTAGAATCTTGGTTATG